ATTTTATAAATAAGGAAAAATATATTGCATGTCTCTAACACTGAGAAGATATTTGTAGAGATAATGGCAAATATCCATCTTGGCAACCATGTGGTCAACAAATATCTACAAGACATTAAGTATAAGAAACTAAGGTAACTGCAACAACAAAATGTCTGAACTGGATATAATGGTGGGTAAGCAGGTCATGGACTTTGAAATATAGCCTTAGTTTATGAGCTGTTTGATTCTGGGAAAATTACCTATGACTTCCCCGTGCTTAAATATGACTCACAGGTAAAATATATTGTTTAGTAGATTAAACAAATGAACACCTAAGGACTTAGTATTACTTGGAAAATAGCAATGGCTCACTAATTTGTAACTGTTGTGATTATATTAAAAAGATTAAGAGGTAGAAAAAACTCATTTGCTAGCAATCACCTTTGACATAGAAAGAGTGAAATAAAGGCTAGCATTTCAATGTGATGTGCAGTCAGAAAGGAAGAAGTTTCTCCTGCTGACCAAGTCATCAGGATGAGTCTAAAAGTGAAATGCCCTCCATGTAGTTGGCCAGAGGAGAAGCTGAGAACAATCAAGTGATGGATAAACTGGAAAAGTTACTTGATCAATAAGACCGGGCACCCTGGGGCACATAATAGTTCTGGTTCCACGAGTGGCAGAAGCTTAGGCAATTAAGTTGACTTTTCTTGCCTTGTGGGTTTTTTGTTTGTTTGTTTGTTTTTATGTGTGATGGAAGAAATCAGGATTCCTACCGGCCTCTCCAGTTAGAGGAAAGATTATCTGATGTGGATGAAGGGTTCATTACCCTTAACTATTATTGTGGCTGAAAAAGCAGAGATCTATGTCTGTATTTAACTGCAGAATGAAGGGTATGTGGGAAAGAACATAAAGGATACAGCATAGAAAAGGGGATTGAGAAATCTGTATTAGAAAGATAAAGGCAACTTAAAATAATTAAGCTCTGAAAAGATACTCCAACATAAGGAGACAAAAATATAGTTTCCTGTTAAAAAACCAAAAACAGTCCAGCCTTGAAATGATCATACTCTTTCTGTAAATATTCCTAAAAATGACATATGGAATCCAATTAACTTCATCAAGTAACTATTAGCAGCTACTACAATGTAAAAGCTGAGATACGGTCATGCATAATCCATATAGTCCATGCCCTCTGTGAATGCATGACATATGTGATCTGCACACAATGAGCTGAATAAGCTAAGTGTGAACCAACCTATTTTATGAGAGCTCAGAGAATAAAAGGTTCAATTTTTCCTATGAGAAGAGGAGTGGGGAATGAGCTTAAAAGTCTTCTCCAGGGTTTCAACTCAAATGTCTAAAAGATGAAACAGTTCCTATAAATTTAAACTGAATTGTGTATTAAAAAAAATTAGTGGGGAGAGTTTGGAAAACTAGACAGTGCAGGCCAGCTTAAAGACATTCAAGTTCAAAGTTAAGAAAAAAAATTATCATGTATATTAGCAGGATCATCCAAGGCCAGGCTGCAGCCTTTGCCATAACATAGGAAGTACTATGTAAGATGTAAGTTAGATTATGAAGTAAGGTTACACATCATCAGGGAGAAAAAGGAAACAGGTAAGATGCTAGAGTGGATGAAGTCATTTGCTGAGATTCAGAGATGAAAGTATTATACTTGAAAAATATACCTAGTGGGGGTGGTGAGAGAGTGAACAACGAGGCACTACGGAGAGCTTGGCCTCGATGATAAACGTAATACTAAGAAGTTCAGTCTTTATCTTGAAGGCCTTTAGAACCACAGGATTAATTTCTATGTATCCTTAACTGATTCATTTTAAGAGTTCAATGGTTTCTTTGGTCTTTCTTGAAAACATATTTATTTCTATCAAAGATTCTAAACCCATAGCATTAAAGTGTTCTCTGTCACTGTGAAATATCTGATGGTATTTCTATGATGGAAAACATCTAAATTTTAAAAGTTCTATTCAATTAAATAGTTGAATATTTATAAACAACTGGTTATTCATAAGATGAATGACTCATATCATATAGATAATATCCAAGTTCTTCTTGAATTTTTCTCCCTAAAGTTAGAAATATACATATATCTTCGAAAACACTCCACAATTCATGTATAAATACCAGTCTTGCACCCTTTATAAAATGCTCTGTCCTAAGTGCTTTATGTGTATCATTTCCTATCATTTAATTTAATCTTCATCAAATTCTTACTGCTAAGACTAATGTTACCCCATTTTACAGATGAAGAAACAGAGCCTCACAGATAGGAAGGAACTGCCCAGAGGCACACAGCCAATAAGTGAACAAACCTGAGTTTTTACGCAGGCAGGCTCTCTCTCAGAGTGTGCACCCCTGGATCCAAGTAGGAACCCTGCTTAGCTTCCAAGGTCAGAGTATGCACTCTCATCGTGGAGACTACATGTTCTGTATGAAGTGACTTTTTCCCCCCATCTTTGTTGAACCAGACATTAGCTCTTTTAGGAATGTTGTTAAGTCTGTCCTTCTTCCTGATCTTCTAAGGTCTTGTCTCTGCTTGTTCTAGTCTGTTCTCATAAGTCCTTTTTATTATTGATCACTAGAATTTAGTTTACTCATAATGATTTTTTAGTCCTGCCACTTTTATTGCTTAGACAAAACTATTTAAGGGAAATTAATTTTCTCCTTCCCCAGTCCCATCCCATTTTTGTTGTCTGCCACCAGTATTCTTTCAGAAACTTCTTTCTCACAGGATCTGTTTGGCAGAAGGCTTAGACTTACTTTGAGTTTGTTTTGACTTCATCATTTAATAAAAAAATTCAAGTCCATCATGAGAGAAATCATGAAGTTCAGTATTTAAACTCCAGAGTATTTTCTGTGATTATTTGCAACAGTGCTCATGGTAACTAATCAGGATCCCTCTGTGACATGGATAGTGTCACTTTCTGCACAGTTTCCTTCCTGCCTAGAGAAGCTTTTTAAACCAGCATTGCTGGAATACCACAGGAGCAGTTGCTATTTGAAATGACTTATCCTCTGCCACTCCATCAAAAAAATTATGCTTGTGGGTTTTAACATACAGGTGACCAAGTCAAAGATTCACAATGCTCTGGAAGTTGGCTGTGTGGATACTGCCTCTGTAAATCAAGAGGCCAAGATATCTTATCATACATGTGAGGTTTCTCTTATTTTTGTTTCTATTATTTTGTATATATAAACGTATGTGTTTTTTGTGCACAAGTGTACGCACCTGTGTGTGTGTATGTATGCATCTGTGTGAATTGCATTTTTGCCAGGAGACTTATGAGGGCAACATTTCTTGAGTGAGGCCAAACTTCCTGTTTTCTCTCCTGCGGCCAAACTCCATCTGCAAATGTTTCATGTGTGGTTTTCATAATTAAGTTGATTTTGTGCTAAGCAGGGGCACCATGTAACCAGTTTCAATGGCTCTGTGAGGTCTGCAAAGATGCTTATGTAACAGAACACACAGACTGCCTGCTAAAGCCAACCAGAAATCTGATTTCATGATACAAAAACATTTGCTCAATTAATAATAATTTACTCAAATTAATAACAATAATTTATAGTATTTCAGAATCATGCAAAAAAAAAAAGCCAACTTCAACATAGTGGCAGATTTCCAAAGACCCCATTCTTGTTAACGAGGAGCAAGAAGTTGATTATAAGGTGAGGCTGATTGACCTCCAACTTCTCAACTATCTTACTTGAACCAAATTCTGTGTTCTCATCTCTTAATCCGATATACTGTTGCTAAGAACATCAAACAGTAAACATAAAGCATGGTGCAGTGCTTTGGAATTTGTAAAATACTCAATGAATAGAGAGTAATGTTATTATCAGTTTTTGTTAGGGTAAAAATGCTGGAAAAGAGAAATAAAACATTATCTTGTTTGGAATTTGCCAGGCCATTGTTTAACATCACTCCTTTAGCATGGGTTAGTCCAGTAAATTTTATTGTTTTTATTCTGACCTATCCATGGTATCTAGCTTTTTATTAAAATAGACCCTATTTCTAAAATCTACTATATTATGCTATAGTATAATATGGGATGTGAATGAAAGTTATACTATTAAGTCATGATAGAAGTGGTTTATGATAGATGCTTTTCTTCTTTTATATAGTTTCTAAGTATTTGAGTTACTTAGGTTACAAAGACTACTATGAAGTTACATGAACTGTAATTTATATAGCAATAAACAACTGACCAGATATCTTTAATAATCTGTTAGTAATGGTACTTTAGGGGAATTCAGAAAACTGGAAGAAGTCAGTTTAGTATTAAAAATGTATGAACACATTTATAGTAGAATCTGAGTGGTGATATAGAGAATGTTAAGTACAAAATAATAAATTATACATTAAGAAAAATGCAGGTTCATTACTTCTGAGTATATAAAAAAATTCTTCCAAACTATAGGTCTTTGTACATATTTTATTAAATAAAAATTTAAAATTCAAAATAGGATATTTTTGTATGTGACTTGATAATACTAATATGCAGAAGGCATCTTTAAGCAGTAAGAAATGATCTCTGTAAGCTTGTATGTTTATAATGTTATTTTGTTCAGCATTCTTCCCTATAAATAGTAAAAAGTTTATATCAGCCCAGCCCACAAGAGTCTATCAAACAATAATTTGTATATATATATATACATACTTTATATATATATACATACACACACACATATATATATATACACACACATGTATATTTCAAAAGAACGTATTTATATTTTCTCCAAAGAGAAAACAGCATGAACCATAGTTGCCTTTATCTCCCAGGGTTGGCGAGTCGGCTACGCACTCTATCAAATCCTTCCTACTGATGTTAGTATAGACCTCATTTGACCAAAAAATAGTCCCTGTATCATTTATAAAGGCAGTTATTCTCCAAGAGTATCAAGCGGTTAGAAAGAGAATATCCAGTGAGAAATCATTCGGTTTTGTGTTTCCCCACAAACGTTCTGACTGTGAGGAAAATGCTCTCAGAGGTTCTTACCTGCAGTGTACAACCATCGGACCTGCATCAGGAGGGTTACAGGTTTTGACTCTCCGTAAGAAAGCTAGAAAAGGTGTTGGGTGTTCTGGAACACCATGATCAGGCCAGGCAGTGAACTGGAATTGTCTTACTTCTCTCTTCTCACTTGAACCATTCTGTGAAGTAAGAACAGTGACTGAAATTCTGTGTACTTAGCCTCAAGTTGTATGATGTGTAATAATATGGAAAAGGTAACATGTAGATGTGCTATCTTAATTCCTTCCCCTATCCTGTATTCCTTGGGAAGAAATACTCTTTGGAGTTATAACTACAAGCTATTTGCAAATGACAAATATTTGCTCAGGAAGACAAAGTTCCTAGGTAAGAAGCATTCCATTTCTCAGGTTTAACTATCAGGAGTGCTCCTGTCATATTTTACAGAAAGAACTAGTTCTTCATCCAGCCGTCATTTGCCAAAACTTTCATTCAGAGCAAGAGTTCCATATTTATTGACAAATCACTAGACAAGGAGAAAAACTGCTGAGCGATAATGGAAGAATCATTTCATTCTTCACTGTTGCCAGCAGAATCAAGATTTAAGTAAAGCCTTGAAATATCTGATTTCTCAAAAGCAGCTTTCTTTAAATAATGGAAAGGGGAAAGAGAGGGGGGAAAAGCAAACCTTGTAAAGTGCAAATGTTCGCACACAATACGTGGCCAGCTCCACTGTATCCAGCAGCGTCACTTGGACCAGACCATGAGTTTCCGTGCCCCTGCTGGGCCAGTACTGGTCACACTTCACCTAGAAGAAACAAGTGACACATTCAGGGCAGAACCTCATCAATTTCTCTGTTAGCTTTATTTTGAGTTGCTGTTGAAGGAAAACAGCCCTTCTGCATTTCATTTTATGTTGATCTTTTTCTGGCGTGCATTCTTGTTATCCCAATATATGTAAATTACTGCTCTGATGCCAATGTAAACCACATTTTTCAAACTGGTAGGAATACTAAACAGTAACAGATTCAATTTTCCTGGAGAAAAAATAAATTGCAGATTGTCACCAAGTAGAATAAGGAGAGAGGCATTTGAAACTTGAGAGGACTTGAAAAGAAAACACAAATTTGTTCTAGGATAGACGTTAGGAATCGCTTCAGAAAAATTACACTTAGGCACTTAAATGACATGGTGAGATAGTTAGTGTTCATCCATCAAGGTTTAAAAGACACAAACGATTTCATCTTGAGCTATCTCGAAATATGCTTGTTTAAAGAAAAGTAGAAATAATTTGTAAATCTGTCAAAGTATACCAAACAACACAACACTTTCTTTAATATAAGATAAATGGTATGTGTATCAAAAACAAATGAAATATGTAAAGTCTGGGGGAAAAGAGCTGTCTGTTCTTTAAAAAGTCTCGGAGGGTCATATACTAGAAGTGGCAAAGTTTAAATAATTTAAAACCCATTCATTTCAGATGAATAATCTACAGTGAATATGTGAAGTTGGACAAGAAAAGCATGTAAAAAGTATTCAATGTAATTAATTTAATATGCAACAAAGAATAATTCCAAATCTGCTGTATGACTCAAATTTACTGAATGTGCCCTTGGGCATTAAAAAGCATAATGAAAAATAGCAAAGATAACACTGTATTTTCTAGTAAGACGATACATCAGAATATATTTACCCTTTGCATCTCAGATTAAAAGAAAAAAAATGGGAGGTAATTCTTAACTGAAGCCAATTAAAATGCATCTCTCTAAGTAAAGAAATCTAGAACTATATTAGTACATCTTCTATTTGAAAAATACTTGAAAATTACAATCTTTGGATTTAAACAAAAGCAATGAGGCATTATCATAGGCATTTGGATTTTTGGCTCAGTAAATAGAATTACTAGGTAGTTATTTGCTTTTATGTTGAATATAAATATTATTACCATTCTGTAAATAATATTGTAATTTTCTGTTTCACAACTAAAGCATTTGCTGCTCAGAGTCAGCCTCTTTCTGTGTAGATACCAGACCTTGTGAAAAGGGAGAAGGTTAATCCTCTACAGAGTTTCCTAGACAAGATAAAAGAAAAGGTACAGTTACACAGGAAGGCAGAGACTGCATTCTCAAGGTCTGGCTTCTATGCCTTTATCTCAACTGTGAGACCCACACAAACATTATTTATTTCAAGAAAAATGAACAAAAGTGGTTCACCATAAAAATGGAGAATTATGTCTTAGTAAGATTTTTTTTTAAAGGCTTGAATTTTCTAGATGCACAAAATATTATTCTGTTTCATATTTCTATCATATGTTCTAACTTAAAAATAACATAAGGGAAAGATAGTTCTTTAAGGAAAATATTGATGTAGTAAGACCAGGGGTTGGGTACTTCTGTATTCTCTAGTCATCCATTAAAAGCCAAGTTGTACTTGGACAAACTTAGCACAGTCTACCTTCATAGAGCCAACATTACTTAAGTAATCCTAATTCAGATCGGAAAAAAAAAAAATCACAAAAATGAAGTCAGAGGATTTGTTCTAAACCATGAAATAGATGTCAAGTTGATATCTTGTTGCAAAAGACAAAAGAAACTGGAGGCCTCTTATTGCAACATTTGAAGGGATGCCAATAATGTACTGAGTTTAGGAATCAACAGAGAAACTCAAAACTCATGATTTAAGAGTTTCAGCTGAACATGAGCCCTTTCAAATCAAAACCAACAGGTCATATCCCAGGAGGACAAATACCACTATGATGGGTACAAAAATAGCAAGTTAATGCAACAAAATGAACCAGAAGTTCAGTACAATTCACCAAACCCAATTCAATGTATTTACATTTCAAAGCTGGAAAATGGTTATCCTTAGACCTTGTAGTGAGGTAAGACAAAGGAAAACAACAAAAGAACCATAAGCCAGCCTTTATGTGACCTCTGGAAAAATGACTCCATTATTGAGTGACTTTCAATCTACAAATCCACTTCATCCCTAAAATGTAGGAAAACTTAAACTTATAATAATTATTTTAAAGTTTGAGAACTGCAACTATTTTTGGCTAAGTTAGTCTCTGACCTCTTTAGGAAAACAAAAAATCCACAAAACATTACTATAAGGAGTAAATATTGTGAACACTTTTTAGCTAAAAGAATAAAGAAATAGTTCTTGTACTCATTTTAAAGAATGTATTCTAGCCTTACTCTTTACTTAAAAAAAAAAAAAACCCTCTAAAATGTTTTAAGTGCAACTGCAAAAACTATGAGCAACTTCTAAAAAAAGTCAATATATTTAAACATCTGTGTTTTTTTCAATAAATATTTTGCAAGGGGAGTTTATGAAAAAATAAATGTTCTAATGTATGTGCACATTCACACGTACAGTCTCAGCAGTGGCATTAGAAGGGTTGCCTAAGGCCTCTGAGCAGAAACACATGCTTCCCTTCAGCGCAAGGACTGCAACACTTCTTTTCTCCACCTCATTCTCTGAGTAGACGGTATAGGTTTCATCCTGAGGGCTAAATTTAAGGGCTTAGACTTACTGACAACTATTCCTTTAAGCCTTGCAATATTAGCCATACACCAAACAAATAATTTCTGATTATAATGTTAGAGAGGGAGTCAGAAGTCTAGTGAGCAAAAAAATTAAAAGGATACAGACGAATAATATAAATTATATATATATATTTTTTCCTAACTAGCTAATACAAATAAGCTAGCTCTGTTTCCCTCTCTTGAAATGTTTTCTTTGGCAGTAACCCTCCCCAACTACCAGTTTTTTTTTCACCCTGGAAGAAGAATCTCAGATGGTATTTCTAGAGAGTTACTACTTGTTAGGCTTCATGCATAGAGCTGAGTATGAGAGTTAAGATGTGCTATACAGAAGGCTCCCTTTGGGGTATACAGAAGGCGGGAGTTACAGTACAAATACTGATGTCTGTCTTTTCTTATTTGCTTCTGAAGTGACTACAAGTGGCCTTCAGGACTGATACATGGAAGGTCAGGCAGTTTCACTGCTTGACCAGTAAGCTGCTTCTCTGTTTCCAGGACCAAAGCCTTGTGGCCTCTTCTATAAAATGGGAGTGATTATCTCCTGAATGACAGGTTTATTTTAAGGGTTGGAAATCTTATACCTGAAACTCTGAACCCAGTGGCCAACACAAATAGGTGGGAATCCAGTGGGAATATTTATTATTAGTTAACCATGTTCTCAGCTTTTTGTGTTTGTTGTTATAAACCACTGAAATCATTCTGAATGTGAAAAATTGAATATATTATTAATCCTAGCAGATACGTACTTAGGATTTTCTAGATGGGAGGTGAGATGTGAGTGGCAATGAAAACACCAAAGTGAAAAACACTCCTGCCCCCAGTCCATCAGCCTTACTGACTAAATATGTAGGGGTGTTTTGATCTCCTGGTTCTTCAAATAGGTATTTGTGACATTCCAAACAGTCCTTTAATGGACCTGGGCCCCAACTGTCTGTAAAGAGAGAATGTACTAGAATCAGAGTAGAAAAGTAGTAAAGTAGAACCAGGCTGTGGTTTAGAAACATCACTCTGTAATGCTACTTGAGGCCCAAATTGAATGAGACAGTTCAGATTCCTGGATGAATTTAGGCGAGATATTTATTTTTGTTATCACAAAGAAAATCCCTTTATGTGGTAAGCTTTCATTTTTTCCATAATTATGGAAAGACCGGGTTGACCATCACTACATATATGCTGTGGAATTCATTCATTTTCTCCCTTTCATGGCAAAGTATTAAAAGTAAGTTGATGGCATGATAGAACATATTTAAATGTATTCAAAAGAGCAACTCATTATTGGAAATATCTCGTAGGATTTGATCCAGCAGGTCTATTGACTGTGCTTTAGGGAAATGCTTTCCTTGTTTTGATTTTACTTCCACATGGCCTATCCTGGACGTGGTTTGGCACATTAAGGGCACTCAACACGTGGAAGTCAACTTTATAATCAACTATACTGTGGTCTAGGTTGGCTTATTTTTAAACAGCCTGAAACTTTATGAAAAAAAAAACCTCATTTCAATTTAACAAAGCTTTATTGAGCCTGGTAGCATGGTGGAAGGCATCAGAATTCCAAATGTAACAAACCAATACTCCAAAGAGTCCCAGCAATATTGAGCCCAAACGCATTTGCCACACAGTATTTGAGAAAGCCTGCCTAGGGCCAAATTATTTAGTCAAAGAAAGACTTAGAAGACACAGTAAATGATATTTGGAAATCAGTATTTAGTACGTTTGGGCAAAGGACTCTACTGTAAAGAAGGGGCAGTATGTTAACATTAGATAATGCAAATCAAGGCTGTTCTTGGGAAAAAGGAAATGTTACCACGACTAAATATACATTTAATAAGAAGAATACAATGAAAGAAAGTTTCAGATAAATATTAGGATATATTTTAGCAGACAGAAAAATTACACGCCAAACTGACTCTGTAGGCTATCATAGCTCTCTTTAGCATTTTTTAAAAGACCAGATTTAATACTTGATTTTCCAAAATCAGGGGAGATAATTCTTAATGATTCTCTTCTCTTTGAATAATAGTGTTATTCTCTCCATTCAATGAATATTTAGTCATATCTATTTTCAAATGGCAAAACTATCTGGTTTATGAATTTCTTTCATTTTCTCTTTGCTGACCACTATTTAGTGAAGGATCAAGGGCAATGGAGTCCTTGAAATGAGAGTGATATTAAAGCATTTGACTATCAGTACAGTCATAGCTTTTCATAAATAAAACCATAATGTCAAAAATATTATACTCTAAATAAACCAAATTTTGCTGCT